TTTAAAAAGAAATCCAGAACTCTCTGTGATGAACAATAAATTTTAACCCTTAAAACTAATAAAACCATAGCTGATATGCAACCTGGCTCATAGAACAATGATTTCATGTCTCTAGCTCTCTGAAGAAGCTTGGTGTGGCCTTCAGTTTCAAAGGCAATTTATTTCACCTGTTGCAAAGCTTATCTGAAATCCACATATTTTTGTATTATCAAAACATGCCTAAGAATCAAAAGCTGAAGGTTTTACTAGTTTGTTGTTGTTGTTTTAAAGCCATGTGTAGCTGTAAAGGTTTGCTTCTATCCATCGGAATAGGAAGAACAGTTTTCATAACCCACATGGCAGTATTATTGCAATGGATTTTAGACATGCATTGACTGTGTATTCTTTTTTCTTAACTATTTTAAAGATTATTGATATTAACTTTTAATAATATTGCCATTAATACTTGTAAATAAAATGTAAGATTCCAAAATGGTTAGTAATAGGATAATAAGAAACTGTCGTGAATGATGGTCAGAAAGAAAGGTGACAATGCTACACAAAACTGCTACAGAAAAGAATCTGATGGACCTGTAAAGGGTACTCATGCATTTTAAAAGCAATACAAGAGAAGAAGAAAAAGGAAGAGACAAATCCATTTTAAAGCTCTTGGTGAAATGAGAAGTGTTTTACCATTGTAATCTGCAAAGAACAGGTGAATTTCTCATAACTGAACTGCAAGTATTACTTTTATTCAGGAATCCGATTCACTCCTTTTTCACTAGGTATAAAACCAAAAAAATGTAAAATAAACTAATACAAATAATTCCTTCTATGACAATGTAGTGGCTCTTGTGAATCAGGGAGAGGGAAAGTAGAAGTTGTGTATTTTAATCAGGCTTTCGAAAGTGTTCAAATGGCATTTTCATAAGCTGTCTAGGGAAATACAATCCAGGTCATACATTGACAACAATAAGGGCTGTATGTGAGACTGAGTTTCCCTGTCCAGATTATGTAATTAAGAACCTGATGCAAGTTGGAAGATGTCACATCTCAGACAAGATGCTTCTTACTGGCAACATGCTGCCTCTATGAAACATAATGGCTTCCGATAAATAACCCTACCAATGTGCTGTGATTTCTATTGTCAGGGCAGGCACAAGAAAAGAGACAGAAATATAGCATAAGGAGGCTGTAACAAGTAATAGCTCAAAGAGGCTGAGCCAGTTTTATTAGCTTTCCTGATGACAACTTCAGAGGCTACTCAAAACATAATATTTACAGAATACATTCTGCTCTGAACAGGTACAAGTATAACCCTGCACATATCTTCTGGCCTTTCTTGCAGCAACTCAAAACTTAAGCATAGATTTTTGTTACTACTACTCCTCTTGCTGTAGATTTAGTGGTGGTTGAAAAGTACTCAAAGATTATCATCAACTTGGTGGGGATTTACAGAGGGGTCTAAAGTCTTGTACTTTTTAATTTTTGGTGGTCTTGGATAGAATTGGGTATTAGAATATAATCATTAAGTTTCACAAGATTAAAAGAAGCTCCCAGCATGCTGAAAGGCAGAATTAGAAATGAGAATAATCTTTACAAATTCAGTAGTCTGAAAAATATAAGACACAATTTTGTGTGGAAACCCACAAAATACAATGTTTAAGTATAAACAATTCATCCACAAGGGTTATACAGAAATTGATCTGAATGATATTAAACACTGGAAATAGACTATATTTTATATATATATATATATATATACTATATAGTAGTCTACAGACTCCCATGGGAAAAGTGGGATTTTGTCATGGCCTTTTAAGCAGCTTTACTAGTGTTTGTTTGCCCATTCCTGTGAGCCTTTCAGAACTGTTAATATCTTTTGAATTAGGCATCTCCACACCAGTCATCATCTTACCAATTCTGTGGCTTGCTTTCTTTATACCTGTAAATTAAGTCTCCTGTGAAGCACATTTATAAAAACTTGCATTACTACAGAATGTGGTTTCCATCCCTTACTATGGAGTATTTGAGTACTTTGCTGAATTCAGGTCATGATGACACACACCGCAACTGTGCTGCTCAAACAGGCTTAGAGGAGCCTTGTTTTCCACTCCTGCCATTCATCCTGACTCTCATGCCACTCTTTTTGCTGTGTGGTGCTGGCATAACTATCTGTGGCTAGTATGGAGCTGGACTGGGGAACTCATCCACCTGAAAAATGACACTGGAAAAACCTGCTGCCAAACAAAAGCTAAAGCCCATAAACAGAAGGTAGGAAAGTCTCTGTTGAGATCTTGGGAAACACCTAAGGCACACTAGCACCAAAGAGATTTATAAATTTATAATCTCAGGCATGTCCACAAAGGGCAGCTTCACAACAGTTACTCATTGTGGTATTCATCCTGGGAGTTGTCCCATTGATACTTTGCACTAACAAAGCTCAGAATGGTTAAGAAAGAGCGGTTGATTGGGTAATGAGACATAACACTATGGACGTTTTTTTTGCTGCTTGGTCCATAGCAAGTGGAACTGCTTATCAGTGAAAATGTAAAGAGTAGCATTTGGAGTCACTGCTGACAGCCTGAGATGTAACAGGTGATGAACAGTTCACCAGCACCAACAGCTAACTCTTCATTCTCTGCTAAACAAACTGTCAAAAAAGCAAAGCTTGTCTTAGAAGTACAAGAATGAATTAGCTGATGTCATGAGTGGAAGCGATGATTGTTAAAGTGCCACCTGGGCATATCCACTGTGTACCACTGATATTGCTGATATCCGCAGCAATAGAGAGCACGACAAATTCAAGCTAAGAAAGCAAGAGGGACCTGGCTCAGCTTCTGAGTTTGTTTTGGAAGTAAATTAGCTGCAGAGTTCTCTGTCTGGTGAATGACTCTGATCTGTTACTTGTCAACTAAACAAGCCAAAACAGAACTGAAACAAAGCAGCTCATCACCTCCAAATGGAGTACGGGTGCCAGATATGCTCAGCTATTCACTCCAGAGTCAATCAGTCAGCCCTAAACCTGCACATTCTGACAGCTGCTATTGTTACACATGGGGAAAAGGATCAAAGGAAAATATACTGAGAGCAACACAGATGAAGTCTGGAGTCCCCAACTCCAAACACTTCCCTTATGTGGGAAGAACAAAAAAATCTTTATGAAAAGTTGAAAAATACTTCCATAACAGTAATGAGGAAGTATTCTTCTGGTGACACAGCTTAATTCAGTGATTCACAGACTATCTCTTGTCCCACATAACTTTAGGTACTGTTATGTAAACTCTGAGTGTAGTCATCTTAAGCTATTGTATGAGAAAGTTGCTTTCAGGGTTCAACCTTCCTAAAGTCTGAGCTGCCTCTTGCTGCAGCTGGAGTCACTGTTTTTGTCGTTTTTCTGGCTTGCAGTCACTCTGTGGCTGGAGCTGATACAATCTCAGTTATAGACGCTATTGACAGTTACATAATACCTTTGGCACAAAAGGTTTCTTTCTCAGCTTAGTTCTGAACAAATGCAACAGCAATATTTCCCCAGAGGTACCTCAATGAAGAGGAGTGAAGGGATCATAGCTAAAATGCATCATGAGCTGCATATTCTCAGCTCTGGCTGCTCTTGCCATTAGATAAACCTCTAGCCAGCCCAAGAATGACAAAATGTGGTTAGCTCTCCAGCAGAGACCCTTTATCAGTAAGATCAGTACTGAGTACGACTGGAAGCATGGTGCTTAACAGAGTATGTTTTGTTCCATTGACCTGAAGACAGAACTGTTCATAAGCAGCAAACAGGCTATACTTAACACCGGCTATAATCTGTGCAGTTCCTCTTTTTGCTTTTTTTTTTTTTCTTTCTTCCCAGTTCGGCCATCAAACATGCACATGCTCTCCTCAACCAGCTTTCTCAGGACTTCGCTGCTAATCATAGAATCAACTAGGTTGGAAAAGACCTTCAAGATCATCAAGTCCAATCATTACCTCAGGTCTGCCAAGACCACCACCATAGCACTTAGGAACTCATCTACACAGTTTTTTTGAACACTTCCAGGGACAGTGGTTCCATCACTGCCCCGAGCAGACTGTTCCAATGCCTCAACACCCTCTCTGTGAAGAAATTGTTCCTAATCTCCAGTCTAAGCCTCTCCTGGTGCAGCTTGAGGCTGTTTCTTCTTCTCCTATCACTTATTACTTGGGCGAAGAGACCCACCCCCACGTCACTGTAACCTCCTTTCAGGTAGCTGTAGAGAGCAACAAGGTCCCCCCTGAGCCTTCTCTTCTCAAGACTGAACAACTGTTGGTCAGTCTTCACTCACTGTTGAGATAATTAACAACAATGGATATTATTTTGATTGTGAGGCTATTTTATAGAACACTGTTTTCTTACATCATGTATCCCTGCCTTAAAATTAATTTTGCACTGCTCTCTGAGCTCCCTTATATTTTTTAAGTAGTTACATAATTTCAGTTTTTCTAAGGAGCAAAACTGGCAATAGTGGAGCTTGATAGTTGTTAACATTATACTGTGGAATCTTTTCCAGAGATTTTCCAGAATCTTTTCTAGAAAATTTATTTTTTTCCCCTGGCTGCTTTATAGAAATGGCCGAGGTGGTGGCATACAAGAGAGAATTCTAGTAAATTACAGCAAAACAGTTGGAGAATTAGTTTAGTTTTCAGGCAGGCATTTTTACTGCTGTTTTCTGGACTTGCCAAATAAAATATTTGGTTTCTTAATTATGGGTAATAAGGTAACTAATGACTAATGAAGAAAGTAATGACTAAACCAAAAAAATGTTTAATATGTTATTACCTAGATACAGAAACAAATTAAATTCCTCCTCATACTACAAAAAATTGCACTAGAACTGCTGTTGCTTAAAGTAGCTCAATATAAACATTGTGTTTTTAAAAAGAAAGGTCGCTAAAGTGTCTTAAAGTCTGTGGCAGGCTTGCTTAAGCAGCACAGCTCAAGTCAAGCATGGCAAGATGTCCAGTAATGTGAATGAGCTTTTAAAGGAAGTTGGTCTGCATTGGGTTGGCAAGCTCTGAATCTAAGGATGAGCTGCATGAAGTTCATAGAAGTAGTAAGACTTTACAGAGATGGTTTTGCTTTCAGTGGTTTGGTTGGAATGTTCTTAGGATGCACACAGAGAGTAAGGGAGCTCTTGAGTTAAGAGGAAACTCGGATGTCCTCCATTGGGATTCCAGATTTGCTTTGCTAAATATTGTGCCCAATATTTATCTCCCACTTTTATTAGGTGATCCAGACCTTTGTTGATCCAATAAGGACAGTAAGGACTAATGTCTGAGAGGGCCACTGTCCTGCTTAGTGCAGCCAGGCACATAGCACAGAATGATTCAACTGAGGAAAGCCAACATTTCATTAACTCATCACATGTAAAAGCGTGAGGAATGGAGGGAGAAGTTTGAAGTAAAATAAACCTTCACCAGAAGACACCAGAGGACCATAGTGGAGGTAAAGAGAATACAGTCACCTTTTACAAAATCTTGGTGAGACAAGATTGGGTTGAAAAAGAGAAAATGTGGGAGAAGGATAATAGTGTGATCTGTTTTACTGACATATAAAAATATCTTGACTAGCATGGGTAACTGTAATAACTTAAATATTGAAAGTTCTAGCAAGAAACTACTACAAAATGCTAGAATTAAGAACTCACTTTTCAAATGCTGATTAAAAAAGCAAGAGGATTCAGCAAGGCATTAAAGAATTGTAACTTTTCTCCCTGCACATGAATATTTTGAACAATACAAATTATAGTTCTGTGCTTCCCACCACAGGGTCTGTAGGCAACAAGATTCCTCTTTCCAAATGTTAATTTTTTTTTCTTTAAAGAATGCATGTACATGATTAAACCAAGCTTGCCCTTCTACCTACTTTTCAGAGGAGAACCATCTTTCTATTGGTGTATTGTAGGAATGAAGCTCCCTCCCCCTTTACAGAAGATGGCACAATACAGAAGAAGTTATTTCAGAACATACTTAGTTTAATTACAGGATCAGTGAACACAGCAATGTTTTCTTGGCAACAGGTATAAAAGCTGGCAGTTAATCAGTTTCTCTGGAGCAGTTTCTTGGCATAACGTTGCTGCATTAGAACCTTGGATTTAATTTCTTATTTTGTTTTTCTGTTCCCCTGCTTCATTTCCTCTTTATCATTTTTTTTCCTAGTGGTACATAAAAATAACATGCTGCATTCTTTGTTATGAAGAAAGAATTAACTCATTTCTTTTTGAACTTGTAAACAGTTGTGGGAATTTGTAGGAATTCTGCATATATTCATGCATTATGTGAAAAGGTAGCTAAAAGAATATCATTAACAGCTTAGAAGGAGAGGACACAATTTAAAGGGATAAGTGTTGAATGTTAAACTTATAAAACTGTGATTGCGGAACTTATATACTGAAATTTATCACATGCATAAGAAAAAAATCAGGTAGGTGTAGGATTTAAAACTACCAGTACATCCGGCAAGAGAAAACCCTCAGGGTAGAAAGACAGAGACCACCTGCCAGCAGTACTTGTGACTTATGTTGGTGTCTGATTGCTGTTGCCTTACAGATTTACTGCCTGCCCCATAAAGTTCATTTCTATTGATCACTGCATGTACTAAGTTGAATTTAATACTTGACAGCAATATGATATATTAAGAGCATTACTTTTTCAGAGAAAATACATAGGTCTCCTTCCATTGTCCCTTTGAGAGACTAAAGAAACAACAGAAGTAACTGAACTGAACTGCTGACTGAAGACACAGATGTTGTAATCCCCATGTATGTATCTACACTTGACAGAAGCGCATAATTTTCCAAAATTTTACAGTTCAGATTGCTAGTTTTCTATACTTTAATGTAATCATACATTGAATTCTTGATGGAGCAAAGATGAGTCATGAAGAATGACATGCTTAATAGTAATTGATAGAACTTTTTAGGAAATAATTTGTATACCTGTTTAGTGTTCAAAAGTGTCTGACTTTTTTATATATTCTTACCTTTATTCTTATGATTTTTGCTTTTGATGCTATTTGAAAATAGTTCGCTTGCAATTTTTGCTCAGATACGTTGTTATTTTTATGTTTGTACAGCATATGGAAGCCATAAGCAGGCAAATTCTTTTTAAGAGCTTGCCATGCCAGCACTCTGGCCTTGCAGTTTTAGTTCATTTTTGTAACTCTGTGTTCTATGCAAGCTCATTTCGTCCAAAAGAAAAAAACATGTTGGAAATAGTTTCTTCTCTGTTGTCTTTTCAACTTACTTATGCCATTGTACAACAGTAATTGAATATGGCTCCCATTACTAATTCACATCACATACATTATCATGTTTTCACTTATGTATCAGTCATGTATCAGTTTCTCTAACATAGGAGTGGAAGGAGTAGCCAGATAAGGTAACTCTTGAAAAATTTTTCATCTTAGGATGTAATTTTGCCCCAGTGCTGAAGTAAAATTCCTATTTGGAGGTCTACAAATAAGAAAGTAGGGCAACACTTTATTAGGTTAAGATGTTACGCTGTGTTTCGTGAATGCAGACATTTCAAGTTTGAGGTTTGTTTTGGTTTTGTTTTAATATCAATTGTTAAACAGGCTTTCTGCACATGTGTACAATTCCCTAACAACAAAACAAAATACTTTCAGAGGTAATGAGGAATGAAAAGGATAAAAAGAGTTAACAATCAAATAGTACAGCTTCTGGAAAACTTTAAACTTCTCCTCTAAATATTCATCACAGCAGTAGCCTAAAAATTTAGTTTACATTTTGCATGGTGTTATGAAGTGTTTATAAGATTTTATAGTGTTTTTCACCAAGTCTGGAAATAATACATTAATTTTTTTTTTGTTCCAGAAGTGTGCCTTATGTATGTTTAGCTCTCACTGCAGTGGCTTGAACTTATCTCTAAGAACTAAAGTTTGAGTAAGCCTACTCCTGTTGTTTTTTTAAGACAGGAACAACATAGATCTCTACACATCCATGCTAGATCTTCTGCACAGCTTCTGAATTCTGTACTCAGACTATTACTAGAAGTAGAGAATATTTTGCTCTTTCTGTAGATACACTTTCATTCTGCAGAAAGATTCTATTTCTCTGGTAAGTACATAGCAAATATTAAATTCAGTACTCAATATCCTGTGTCTTCTAGTAGTCTACTGTATCTGGCTGGCATTACTTAAAGTAATATTCTGAACTTGGGTGCTAAATTGTTCAAGTCCTCGGAAGCAAGATTCAGGTTCAGCTACACATTTGCTCAAGAATGTCACTAAATCATTCCTCAAAAAAGGGCTGTACTGAACCTAAAATCTGTCACAGTATCTAAATTTTATTTCAAAGGACTTATATATTTCTGGGAAACATAAAGTGGAACGTTACTTCACTCATTTTAGGGTTTTTTTGCGAACTCGTTCTTTTGAGCACTCGAAGCATTTTCTATTTAACACTACTTTCAGCAGTATTTGTGAATTTGTCAGCTTTGGAAATAATACTGAAGATATGTTTTGGATTTTCTCTTTTCATCTTGTTTCTTCATTTCCTCTTGACTGCATTCTTAAACTACTGTTTATATAATGATAAATGCGAGAGTAATGCCTCATGAGTTTGTCTCACATCTGATGACAAATATGAGAGTAACCACTAGTGATTTTGACTCACTTCTGATTTCCCTTCAGGGATTTATGCTTTTATTTTCAGGATTAATCCCTGCTATTGTAAAAATATTTCTTGTCTTCATAAAGGTTCCCAAGTGATTTTGGTAATGACTTGGGTGTGTCCTGTTTTTTATATATATATATAATGGACCCATATGTACACAGTGGTTGATTAACTGCCAGTTCAGTGCAAACCTCCTTAGTTTTTCAAATATACTTTTATCCTGCCATACTGTGCCCCATTTAAAATACTGCTGGAGAAATTCACTCGATCTTTATTTAGATGTGCTAATCCTGGTAAAACATACAAAAATATTTTTGGTAGCTAAACTGAATAGGTTCATATTTGTTCTACTTTTACTAGATTTAGTATCTAAATTGTGTGCATGAATATAAAATCTTTCCTGAAATGCCCAGAATCTTCATGTTTCCAAATTTAACTTAGTAAGAGTCCAGCTTAACCTCAGCAATTTTCTGAATCTAGAGTGAATATTCTGTTTCTAATTTCAACTGTTAAGAAACAGTTTTTCTTCCTAAGGTCTTCATTTTATTTATTTCTTAAAAGTACACTTACTTACTCACATGGCATTGACTAGGACTTCTCAGTATAGTGTATGATTCTTTTGCAGGGTTATATTACTTCTTACGCAGAGTAGAGGCTTACTATTAGTCTGTTATCTGAGTTTTCTGATACTAAATGTGAGAAAAAAGCTTTTCCTGAACTGAAGTTGTGGGGATTTAGAACTTATTTTTGAGCCATGTAGTGTAGAAAGCTGGTGAATTTGTTTCCAATTTTTCACACAGATATTTTTCAATCTGATTTCTTTCTGTTAATCTTTCCATATTTTATTTTCTTTTAACTGTGTTGTATTATTGCCACTTACAGTATCAACCCATGTACGAGTGGGAAATAGAGGACAGAAAGGAAAAGTAAGAATAAACAACTTAGAGTCTTAATTCTTAATCAGCTACTGCTTTTGATACTTTAAACATGGTGATAATTAATGTGGAAAGCTCTGGAAGCCTTAGTATGCTAACTTGATCATCTGAAGAATGCCAGTACTTATTAGGGAAAGTTCATGATTCATACTCAAGGATTAAGCCAAGAGAATCTTGTGACCTAAGCAGCCTGGCTCTCCAGTGGTAAAAATGGGATTTTCTTATCTTCAGAAAAATAATAATTGAGACAGAGAGCAGGGATGGAAGCTGACAGTATACATTTGATTTAAGAGCTATCAGTGCTCAGTGTGCAGGGAAATTGCTGTTTTGGAAAATTATTGGTATCATTTTAGAAATGTAAAACTAAACTACGGTGTGTGAAGTATTCTGTGGAGATGAATCAGAGAATGCCTGAGAAACTGTAACAATGAGAGTTGTAACATGAAACGTTAGGCCTTTCATCATCAATATCTGAGTTATCCTGAAGGAATTTTTGGTCATTTGCCTGATATTCAAGCAAGTGCTCTTCCCTGGCTATTAATCACTTAAACCCAAACACATGAACATGTGTCACATCATGGTAGGCAGTCAGTGCTTGAGCCTGGATGCAAGATTTGGAGTGATAACATGAAATCTAATCTCTTTTCTAATAGTAAACCTTGACTTGACAGAGGCATTCAGCTTCAATACTTCAATTTCTCCATTGCTGTGACTGGGATAATAATTTAACTTTTCACTTACTTTAGAATCTTGAAAAAAAAAAAAGGCCTTTGAGATATGAAGACTAAGGGACACAGTGTGTAAGGGAGCATTGTGAACCAGCCCCCTGACTGAGAAAGTCACATAAATGCATGCTTATCCTTCTGCAGAGCTCA